AAAAAAGAACTCCAGGAAGAATAACTTACTGGCTACAAAATTTTAGACGCTGCTTTGCTTGCAACATATCATCATTGCTCAGAGCTCCCTCAAACAAAATAAAAATATCCTCCACTAAAAGAACAAGCGCAAAGGCACCTGTGAAGAATACATGCTTTTTGAAAAACGTTTTAAATGTAACAGCCAGTTAAAATACCGATTTCACACAGCTATATCCTCTTTTAATTTCAGAGTTTCTGTTACACAGTAAGAATCACACACTGGCCAAAATTCTGCCAGGGTAACTACACTTATGCAAGGGGATAATGTCATCCCCAGGGGTTATTTTTGGTACAGTGGTGCCTCGCTAGACAGTTACCCCGCATGACAGTTTTTTGCTAGACATCGACTTTTTGCGATCGCTACAGCGATTTGCAAAACAGTGATTCCTATGGGGGAATTTCGCTGGACAATGTTTGGTCCCTGCTTCACAAACTGATTTTTGCTAGACAACGATTTTGACAGCTCCCTCTGCACTTGCAAAATGGGTGTTTTCGGGATCTAAGCTTTGCAAGACAGTGATTTAAACAGCTGATCGGCGGTTCACAAAGCGCCTTTCCTATGGCCGATCTTCGCTAGACGACGATTCTTCCCCATTGGAACACATTAAACAGGTTTCAATGCATTCCAATGGGGAAATGCTTTTCGCTAGACAATGATTTCACTAAACAGCGATTTCAGTGGAACGGATTATCATTGTCTAGCGAGGCACCACTCTAATTAAAAGCTTCCTTCTCTTCCACAGCTTTTCCAACTCCTATGTAGTCCCTTTCCTTACTTAGAAGCTTTGAGATGAAAGGAGGAAGTTTTTAATTGTCTAACATTGCCCCTGCTTATGACACCATCACCCGTTTACAGGAGTAAATTGTGCAACGATTCCCAGCCATGTCAAGAAGTACTAAAACTGTATGAAGCAACATAACTAGTGAAGAACCTAAGAAGAATAATACTATCAGTCAATCAATCAAACAAAAACTTTTATTGGCATTAAAACCAGTAACTGTACTGGTTTAATTGATGTTCAATTATGGCAATATGGGCTGGTTGAGCATGATGTTCAATTATGGCAATATGGGCTGGTAGATCTGACAGGAATAAATTTAAAAAAGCAGGAACAAGGACAAAGCCTTGTTTAACTCCTTTAGAGATTGAGGTATCTTTGGTCAGAAGACCTTTATTATTGACCTGAACTTGGCAACTATTGTCAGAGTGAAGTGTACATACCAAGAACAGCAGACGAGGGTTTATTCCTTTGCTGGACAGTTTATTCTAGAGCAGAGATCGATTGATGGAGTCTTGGGGCAGGTAAGCCCATCCTGCCTGAGTGTTCAATACTCCCCCAGTGTAGGAGATGCACTGAGTAGGGATCACAGTGGTTTTTTCTGTATTGATGCAAAAGCCAGAGCCTCCAAGAGAGACAACATTAAGGCAGTGTTGTGCTTGGCCTGGGCCAAAGACAGCGATACCAGCAGCCAGTCGTCTAGGTAGAGGAACACCGTGACACCCTAGAGACAGAGGTGCGCTGCGATCAGGGCAAGACATTTGGTGAATACCCAGGGAGCCATGGACAACCCAAGCGAGAGGGCTTTGAATTCGTAGCTCACTCCCTTTACTGAGACCCTCAGAAATCAATGGTGGTCTGAATGAATGATATGAAAATAGGTGTCTTTTAGGTCTATGACTGTAAACCAGTCGTTTTGCGGAAGCATCTGAATAGTCAAGTTCAATGTGACCGCGTCTCACTGGGAATCCGCCGATTGAGGCAGAGTGGGAAAAGCTACCTCCAGTGCACACGGAGGCTTGCGTGTCCTGTTTCTTTTCTTCAATGTTGAGCTCAAGGGAGTCTTCGGTATCGATACCGTGGCCGTCAACCTCGAGCCTGAAGAAGACGCCTGCAGTTTGGACACTATCTTAGCTCCCTTAGAACAGGGGTCCCCAACTTTTTTCACCCCCTGGACCAGCTGGGGAAGGCGGGGCACCCCCATGCTCATGCGCATACGAGCGTGTGCAACCAGTGGTGTGGCAGTTGTGTGGGGGCACGCACTTGTGCCCATGTGCAAATGGCGGCGCGGCACTCATATGTGCAAGCTGGAGCATGTGCGCATGCGCAAATCAGCTGTGTAGGGGTGAGTGTGTGCGCAGGGGGCAGGAGGTTTGTCTCCATGGCCCCGTTTGGCTGAGGCAACGGACCTGCACCAGGGGTTGGGGGCCTCTGCCTTAGAAGGCTTTGATGACGGGGGAGAACTGGAGATTGATGCCAGCAGCTCAGGCCAGGGAGAATCGATGGAGGTCCTTTCGGATGGGGACAGGGGCTTCTCCCACAAGTAGGAACGTAGGCGCTGAAGCCGCAACTTACGCGCCGGCTTAGTGAAGCCTTTGCACAAAGGGACAGCTGCTGTTCCTCCCCAAGGCAAAATAAACAGCGAGAATGGCCATCAGAAAGAGGAATCTTGTTATTGCACGACTCACACCTCTTAAAGAGGACTGGAGCGGCCATAAATGCTACAAGTCCTTTTATATTCTTTTAGTTGTACTCACGAAGACAGTAGCAAAGTCAGGACGATCCGAAGAAAGAAACAAGGGAGGTCCAATGGAAAGGGAAGGATTTTTTTTTAACAAACGCAAAAGTTCCCGGTGAAGCTGCTGCAGCGGTGGCAAGAAAGGAACTGAGGGACTCGGTGCCAGGGCGGAGTTATAGCCAGCGTGTGGGAGGTCGCAGCACGATGTGCTTGAGCTAGAAAGTTCCGAGACTGCTCTGCGCAGGCACAGATTAGCCCATTACTGTGCATTCACAGGCCTGGCATGCTCTGGTCCATGGGGTCACGAAGAGTCGGACACGACCAAACAACAACGACGTGCATTCAGAGAGACCACAAAGAAGAACCTAAGAAGAATACTAATGAAATTATGGTAGTAGCTGTGATCAGAATATAGTGGTGCCTCGCAAGATGATTTGTTCCATTGAAATCACTGTCTTGCAAAAACCCCTCGCAAGATGATTTTAATTCGTTCCATTGAAATCGCTGTCTTGCAAAAACATCGTCTTGTGAAACCCAGTTCCCAATTGGAATGCACTGAAATCTATTTAATGCTTTCCAATTGGGGAAAAAATCACTATCTTGCAAAAAGTATCCATAGAAGACATTGTCTTGCAAAACACAGTTCCCCATACCATCTTGGGGAAAAGCAATACCCTCACCTGCTCTGCCTTTGAAAATTCAAGGGGTCTCAAATAACCTTAACCCTCTTTCTCTCTCCAGCAACAAAGAAAACCTTAACCCCCTTTCTCTCTCCAGCAACAAAGAAAGAGAATAAAAGGAGTCAAAGCAGCCCCCTGGCTCCTGACAAGGGTAACTCCATTTGCCCTGATCCTTTATCACAGAGGAAAAAAAAGAGAAAGAATGGAATATAAAACATCATCAGGAATTGCTGCCTTTGAAATAGGTCCTGATGAGAAGAAATCAAGATGAAAAGGAATTTAGAAAAACTAGTTTACCACAAGTGTAATTTTCCATTAACTAAAAACTAGAGTTTACCACAAGTGTAATTTTCCATTAACACAAATTATGCAGTTGAATTCCCCACATTTGGGGAAATCACAAGGATTAGCAGCATGCCCAAAGTGCAATGGGTGAGCCTCTCTCTAGGAAGACCATTTTTATGACATGGTATTTCCCCTGCAAGGTATAAGTTGGAATGGCCCTTGCATCTCCTACCCCATTCTGTCCCCTAACCCCCCCAAGCCATGGTGACCCCAGGGCTGCACAGCCCCAGTCCTGCCCTAGGCCAAGAGAGCTCCTCAGTGTATGTTAATGAGTAGATAACATGTATGCTTTCCTTTTTTATATATATAATCTCTTTACCCCTTGGTTTCTGGCTGTTTTCACTACTCTATCATTTAAATTTGCAGCCATAGCCCCATTGGCAATCCTTTGCAAGATGGTTTCCCCCCAATTGGAACACATTAATTACATAAGACCTACTTTTTTACCCCAAAAAAGTGGGGGGGAGTGTATGCTGGTGTTTTTCTAGGAGGTAGACCCTGAAAAGCCAGCAGCATATACTTTTTTGGGATAAAAAAGTAGGCCTTATGTAATTAATGTGTTCCAAATGGGGAGGAAACTGTCTTGTAAAACAGGATTTGGGGGGGGGAAACTGTCTTGCGAGGCAAGGACCTAAACATTGACCAGCAAAAATTGCCCATAGGAATAATCATTTTGGGAAGCACAACATTGCTCAAAAAAGTCACCGTCTAGCAAAAATAGCAAATTCATCATTTTGCGATTTTGCGAGGCAATTGTCTTGCGAGGCACCACTGTAACTATAAAGGAAACATTTAGATATTATCACAAATTCTACAGATCACTATTCACAGCTTTAGGAATAAATGGGGCAGGGGAGGAAAGGGCTAAAGATACTCAAGGTCTAAGAAGTAAAAAAGGAAAAATGGGGGGGGGGGAGCACCAGATTAGCTGTCTAATGAATTCTGTATTTAGAGCATGAGATACTATTTATTTTAAAACATGTTCACAGAATGCAAGGCTTCTGAAGAGACTGCTGATTTTGAGTAACAGTAGATGACACCACTTTTTAAAGAAGGCTCATGGTTTAAGTGCAAACTGTTTGCAAAAAGTTGATATTCTGTATTTGGGGATTAAAACCACACCCACCACAGTAAACATACCTTTGTCTTTTCAACTATGCATTAATTTTTTTACTAAACAATTAAAAAACAATGTGACAAGGTATTTATTCCCTGCTGACTTGCAGTAAAATTTATTTTTGTTTTGCTTTACTGTCAAATAAAATCACTTGTCAATCAAAGCCACTTAAACTAGGAATGAAGCATCTCTTCTCTACTGAGAAAAATACTATGAGTCATCATCACTCTGGTGAACTCCCATAATTTCCCTCTGTAAACACCTGAAAAGGAAAGTTCTAGAATGCAGTGGCAGGCTTATGCCAGTTGAAAACTGTTAAGTTCAGCAGAAGGTTAACTGTAAGCCAGAGAAGTTGGGGCTTCTGCTTCAGGTGAGACCTTTTAAAGAACATCAGGAGCATGATATATAATATTATATATAATGTAATCTTTTTTCTAAACCCCTCTGAGATAAAAGCAGGAATCTGGACTGCAAGCAAAACAAATATCCTTAATAAAGGAACATGAGAAAAATATGAATTCTCTGCCAACAGTTTAATTACCATATAAAACTTTCCCATGTTAGTATATACACAAAGGAGAATAAAGTAAAAACAAAACAAAGGGAATGAATTTAAAAAAGCAGAAGTTAACAATCTACCACCTCCACTGAACTAAAATTTATGCCCTGTTGCTACAATTGGCAATGATCACAGGTAATTAAACTGCCAAACGGAACCAAACATAAACTCTGCAGCTTGTGTCTCTTGTCTTGTAGACTTTCACAGACCACAAATGGACACAAACCTCAGCTTGATAGGTCAAATCCTTTGGCAGTATATGACAAATCCCCCTCCCCCTTTAGAAAACCTTTCCTATGCTTTCAACCAGAAACCCAATACAAACAGATTTAGCCACCAAAGCTTTATACACACATTCACACCCAGTCCCATTTTATGCCAGTAAAAGCTTCATCTGCTAAATGTCTATTTTACCAGGTTGGTGTTAAAAGGCACAAATGTACACCCAGCTAAAAGACTGGCAGCGCTACAAACTACCTACTTTGAGTTAATGTAAACACACTGTCAGTATCAGAATGGATTTGATATTTTTAAAAAATTGATTTTTGACTATTTAAATTTTAAAAATCAGTTTTAGAACTGTGATTTAATCGATTTGATTTTTAAATGTGATTTGATTTAATCATTGATTTTTATCCACCCTGGTCAGTATTGTCCTAGACTTTCAAGTCTTTAGTTCTCCTGCGGTTTCAAAACCACTACTTAAACATGTGTTATTTCTTTCCTTCTATTGTGATCCCTTTTTAGTGTATCACATAATAAAAGAGGCTTCCATCTTTCATATACCGGATTTCCCCCCACTATACACACTACCTGGTCCATTGCTGGTGTTAAATAAAAATCATTCACGACACTGAACTTTCTGCATTATGGCACTGCAGACTTTTTAAGAGCTAGAAAATTTACCTCTAAGATTGGACTTTCTGCATTATGGCATTGCAGACTTTTTAAGCGCTAGAAAATTTACCTCTAAAATTCTCATCCCCCCCCCGAGATTACAAAGCCACTTCAGTGTCAGTTAGAGCAACTGATCACTCCAGAAAGCCCAAAGAGAGGTCTGGAGGCTTCTGTGCTTCACAGGCTGAAGAATACAGACCGTGCCGCACATACTTATAACCATCTGCCTTGTCCAAGCCACAGAATGGCAGACCAACAAAATGAGCTGTCAACGTACCGGGCAAGGATAGCTGAAAAATAATATGTAGCATTTAAATAAGAGAATTCTCTCCCTTTGCAAGCCTTAAACCCATGCACAAGGAATCTTTGCCTGCCCCCACAGATGTTCTGAATTACAATCCTTTACTGGCCATGGTAACTATGGCTTCTGGGAGTTGAAGTCCAAATATCTGAAATATCACCATCTTTACTTTAAACCAATATGGACTGCTTCATGGAGAACAACTTTCTTCCCAGCATCCTAACAGCACTGGGTGGGTCTTGTCGGTCTCTGCCCTCTACCCCACTTTCCTTGCCCAGCTTTATCTTCTGTCACTTCACTGCCACTGCTGTCAACACACTCCTACTACTTTATTACACCAGCTAGCCAGTCCAGTGTATTAAAGCTGAGATAGAGCAAGGACAAACAACTGCTCCTGTTTGCGACTGCATCCTCACCTTCCATCCTGAAAAGCAGGAGTGGGAACATTCATGGGCTGCATGCAACTACAGTGGTGCCTCGCTTAACGGCGATAATCTGTTCCAGGAAAATCGCTGTTAAGCGAAAACATGGTAAAGCGAAAATAAAAAAAAGTCAATTGAAACACAATGAAAACCTTTCAATGCGTTCCAATGGGCTAAAAACTCACAATCCAGCAAAGATCCTCCATACGGCAGCCATTTTCGGTGCCTGTATAGCGAGGAATCCGTCCCTAAACACAGTGGGGAGCCATTTTACTTACCCAGTGGCCATTTTGAAACAGCCGATCAGCTGTTTGAAAATCGCCGTTTAGCGAAGAATCGGTTCCCAAAGCGGGGAACCGATCATCGCAAAGCGAAATTCCCCCATTTAGACCATCGTTTTGCGATCGCAATTGTGATCGCAAAAAGACCGTCGTAAATTGGATTTGTTGTAATGTGGGGCAATCATTAATTGGATTTGTTGTAATGTGGGACAATCGTTAAGTGAGGCACCACTGTAGTGAGTTTTTTTTGTTTTGTTTTTAACGAGGGTCCCTCTGTAGCTCTCTATTGTGTGGAAATAGAGGTTTTTTGTTTTTGTTTTTTTAACGAGGGCCCCTCTGTAGCTCTCTATTGTGTGGAAATAAACTGGCCCAAAGTGGAGATGCATAATTTTGAAAGACTAAAAGTGATCTTCTGGATTTGAGTAAATGGCCACAGAGGGTGAGGGGACTCAAAATGGGGCGGAGTGGCTTCTAGACGTTCCATGGCTGCTCACCCCTGTTTTATAGGGACAAATGGCACAGATGTGATTCACAATGACAAAGAAAACAGATGGTACATTGCAAACAAGACATTTAAATACTATAAAACTAAAACACATTAGGAATTGTGATAGACAAGTGGGCTTCTCCATTCACTTCAATGGAAAAGGAAGTTCTGTACGTCCATCCAGCTCACTGTACACACGGAAGTGCCCTATCCAGTAAAAGTACCAGCACCAAACAATATAGTAAAAAGCATAATTTCCTGAAATTACCTCATGCTAATCCTAAAGCATTCTGATGCTACCACCACCAAGATCTTTTCTCTCCCCCTCCCCCTGAGTTTTTTGTTTGTTTGTTTGCTTCCTCATTGTTGGTGGATAGTATCACTCCCTGGCTTTCAGAAACCCTTCTCTATAGTTCAGGGGAATATGAGTCGTAACTAGTAATTTTGGCATTTGTAGGGTGGGGGGACGTGGTTGCGCTGTGGGCTAAACCGCAGAAGCCTGTGCTCTAAAGCATTCTGATGCTACCACCACCAAGATCTTTTCTCTCCCCCTCCCCCTGAGTTTTTTGTTTGTTTGTTTGTTTGTTTCCTCATTGTTGGTGGATAGTATCACTTCCTGGCTTTCAGAAACCCTTCTCCTATGGTTCAGGGGAATATGGGTCGTAACTAGTAATTTTGGCATTTGTAGGGTGGGGGGAGGTTTTCAACACTGCCCAATTTAAAGGGTGCAGCCATAGCAACCACCCTGTCATCTGATGGTCCCCTGGGAAGCAACAAGCTAAAGACAAGGAGCTAAGGTTGCCCATTTACAGCAAAAAGTAAAGGAATATATGGCCCCTGCCAATGAGCCAAGTTCAGCCATTCCAGGTAACAGCGTTCTGTGTCTAAGTCGCACTGGCCATGTGACCACGGAAGATTGTCTTCGGACAAAACGCTGGCTCTATGGCTTGGAAACGGGGATGAGCACCGCCCCCTAGAGTCGAACACGACTGGACAAAAAATTGTCAAGGGGAACCTTTACCTTTACCTAGGGTGGGGGGAGGTTTTCAATATTGCCGAATTTAAAGGGTGCAGCCATAGCAACCACCCTGTCATCTGATGGTCCCCTGGGAAGCAACAAGCTAAAGACAAGGAGCTAAGGTTGCCCATTTACAGCAAAAAGTAAAGTGATATATGGCACCTGCCAATGAGCCAAGTTCAGCCATTCCCCATGCAACCCCTGGATGTCAAAGAAAACAAACCCACAACAGGGCATGCTACCAGAAAAGGTGATGACATTCTTGAGCACCTCACTCTATTCATTCATTCATTCATTCATTCATTCATTCATTTATTCCATTTATACCGCGCTGTAACGTTCAGCCCTGCCCTCACCTGTCCATCACAGCTAAGTAGTGGAACAGCAGCCAATGAGGGGGACGGAAGGTGGTGCTAAAGGGGGAGGAGCTGGGATATAAAGGGGTGTGTATGGTGTTTGAGAGATTAGTTTGAGGGTTTTGAAAGGGTTAGAGTGAGATCTGGAGAGATCTAGTGTGTGAGAGAAAGAGGCCTGCGTGCCTGAGTGTCAGTGAGGGAAAGTCTATGTGATTGATTTAACTAAGTAGCAGTGATTTACACCTTGATTATCTTCATGTGATTTACCTATTTTATTTTGTACTCAATAAACCAGTTTTGTTTTTGAAAGAAACCCTTGTCCTTTTCATTTAAAGGAAAGGTTGGTGGCAGCCAGAGTGTGTAGTAGCGCCTGAGTGGGAGGGGCCCTCAGAGTGGCCAGCTAACGTTCCACCCGCCTATCTGTTTGTCACGAACACTCTAGGCGGCTTACAACATTTTGATGGCTGGTTTCAAGAGAAGGTCCTGAGAAGCTAGGTGTGGTGGCAAGGATAGTTTCTGAGGTCACCTGAGCTCTGAAACAAAGCTTAGAAATTATCCAGACCGCCCTTCCAACACAGCCGTCAGAGGAGAGCCAAAGAAGTACAGCAGTTTCCTTTTCTTTCTTTTTCCTCTGATGGCCTATGCCACTAGAGATCTGTTTTTCCTTTCTTTTTTCCAGCATCCAGAGAGTTGCAGTGGCAATTACTCAAATGACTCGTGAGAGGGGTGGCACATGGTATCTTGCTTCTTGCTGCAGACAGGCAAATGTGCTCTTCATACCTTTAGCTCTTTGCTCTTCAGGAAGATCCACAGATAAGGCAATCACTGTGATCACACCCTCTAAACGTGGTGTCCTGGGGCCAAGGTGGATTGGATTTAAATCAAATTGATTTAAATCCCTTTTTTTTAAAAAAATCAGATTTTTTAAATTACAGTATTTAAATTTTAAAAATCAATTGTTTTTATTTAAACTCTGATTTAAGTCAATTTGATTTTTAAACATTATTTTTATCCACTCTATGGACCTGAGGAGAATATTCTCCTATGCC